GTATCATGCTGAATAATACATTCAAGGGAAGGCAAATAAATATATCGTATTTCCATGAGCACTGGAACTTGAAGAGGAACTGACACTGAGCATTTAATATATATACTTCACTGAACAAGTTGTACATCTGAGCTGTAGTTACTCTGTGTCGCCCATTTCATGTATTTTATTGTAAAATTCTGAACACATTTCTTACATAATACACCTGAAGTGTAGATAACAGCATCCAAAACATGAAAATGAACTTGAACCTAACTTGATTTCCACACATTGAAGCTGGACTGTAAATACTGTATTCAGTGGATTTTATTCCATCTAAACATTACATTTTGTTTTACTCTATAAAATAAATAAAACCTGCTCTTTATACTTGAAGGGACATCAAATAATGAAAAGAGTAGCAAAGAAATATTGGTAAAAGGGAAACCCTCAGATTTTCTTATAAAGTCGGCTGTAGCTAAGAATCAGAAGGTTTGATAGCTTACAGTCTTTGCTTGTCCATTTTCCCAGCAGTCTACAGAACTCCTGCCTGACAAATAATATTTAGCTTCATAAAGGAAAAAAAAAAGGTTTTTGTTGATAAAATGTATTATAATTCAGAATTAAATATTGATTTGAGATGCCATGATTGGTTCCACAAATCCAAACACTCCTACTTCTTTACAGAAGTGCAATCAGCAGGTTTCATCTATTTTAGTGTAGATAATATTTCGATTTTTAACTGGGATTATTTTTGTAGCCTAATATTAATTATACTAACCGTGGTATTCTAGCGGGAATAAAATATAAATTTCGGGCTCCAAGCACGCACACATATAGACTAGAAAACAGCCAATCAGGAAGAGACAAGGCGGAACTTAAAGTTGTAGGGAGGTCATATTTAAATTTCAAATCATTCTGGAATAAACATGAATATAAATGTACCCTTTATCAGATCATATTGTCCCAAAAGTTAGAAAATTTCAGTTTTTTTTTTTCATTATCTTCTGCATGCCAGTTAGTTCTACAGCCTGAACACCTAAATTCAGCCAATCATATATCAGCGGTCATCTGTCAATCAGATCTTTTCGGTCATAGCATCTTGATTCATATGTCGCAGCTAATATACGCAACGGTTGAAATCAGAATCCTTTCCTTTCCCATTGAGTTCCGTCCCAGTGTTCACAGGGATGGACTCTAACAGAACTGGCAGCGTGCGAGGCAAGGGCTCAAACAGCTGGAAGCCTTCTACACCAAACCAAGCTTCTGCCGCCCTGGCGTCCTCTTCCACAACATCTTCGTCCCCGCTTTCCTCCTCTAAATAAAAAATGGATGACGGAGGAGACTCATCCACGACCTCCGACACTAAACTCTCCTCCTCTTGCATGTTTCCGCTGTCCATAGCGTTCCTTGACAGTGTCGTTTCTAAGTCACCAATTTAGTGCTACTTGGTCCCAATGAAATTTCCCATTGGGAACCTACTAGCACTAAGTTGCTAACTGGTTAGCAAGATGCTTCCGACAAACCGGCCACAACCAAACTTGCTTGTGAACCTTCAGCCACAACAATCCCGCCCCCTGATAAACAACCAATCACATTCACTTTATTTACTAGTGTAAAGTCGGGCGCCACTCGGGAGAATTCAGAAATGCAACGGGTGGAACAGCAGCTTCCCCACGATTTTAAGGCAGAACAAAGAATGAGAATGGAGTTAAACAGCTCAGCACAGATGTGTGTGCTGCTAAGTGAAAGGGACAGGAAAGACCAGGCAGGGACTCAACTGGAGCGGCAGCAGCAGCTTACCAGGCAGCAGAGCTGCAATAGAAAAAGAAGTGACTGCTGCAACAACGCTGTATTATAAATTATAAACATGTTATTCACATAGAAATGTTGGTAGGGACAGGTCCCTATGGTCCCTATGCAAACCTACGCCCATGATAGTACCATCGCTGTCACCAGTTAGAATAAATTAAATTCTTCCAAATAAACTTTAAAAGTTTAGAATAAATTGTTCTGCAGGTTTTATTATAAAGGTTTTGCCCGTTTTAGAGTCTATTTGATTCAAATCATAAACACATCCCTCATGTCAGGTGTTTTCCCCTGAGCCTTAAAAACAGCAATTATAAAACCATTGATAAAAAAGAGAAACTTAGACAAACTTGACTTGGTCATGCGGAACTACAGACCCATCTCTAACCTCACCTTCATCGGTAAGATTATTGAAAAAGTTGTGTTTCACCAGTTAAATGCCTTCTTAACAATGACCAGCTGCTTTGATGTCTTCCAGTCAGGTTTCCATGCCAACCACAGTACAGAGACTGCCCTGATTAAGCTCAATGACATCCGTATAAAGTCAGACTGTGGAAGAACCTCAGTGCTGGTATTATTGGACCTCAGCGCAGCGTTTGATTCTGTTGCTCACTCGATTTTAGTGGAGCATCTAGAAAACTGGGTGGGTCTTTCTGGTTCAGCACTGGACTGGTTTGAATACCTGAAGGACAGGGACTTCTACGTGTCAGTAGGGAACTTTAAATCAGAAACCGGGAAAATCACATGTGGGGTCCCTCAAGGCTCCACTCTGGGGTTCCTCCTATTCAACATCTACATGCTCCCCTTCGCTCAATTTGTCCCAAATAACCAGATCAGTTAGCATCAGTATGCAGACGACACACAGCTTTATATCCGAATGTCACCAGGAGACTATGAACCCATCAGACCATTGGCTGGATGCTTAGATTAGATCAATATTTTACAGGATTTTCTCCAACTGAAAACCAATCTGAGGTAATAATCTTTGGACCAAAGGAGGAGCTCCCAGCTTCAGCTCCTGCAGCTAGAAACCACTGATTTTGGTTGAAATCTTGGTGCCATGATGGACTCGGACCTGAACTTTCAGAGGCTCATAAAGGCAGAGGTTACGTTCACACTGCACGCCTTAATGCTCAATTCCATTTTTTTGTGAAGTAGTGAGCGTGCTCTGTGTTTATGGAAGTAAACATGATGGTAGTGCTGAAGTGCTTTTCCTCATCCCTTCCTCCCTTTATCCTCAAATCCCCTTCATCACCCCATAAGCTTCCTCCCTTCATCTCTCTCTCTTCATCCCGTCATCCCTTTATCCTTCATCCCTAACCCCCTTCACCCACTTATACTTTTAATCCTTGATCCCCTAATAGCTTCATCCCTTCCTCCCTTCTTCCTATGTGGTCCTTACTGGTGTAGAGAGAGAATCTGATCCAGAGGGAGGGGGGTTCGCCAAGGTGTCTAATGAGATAAAAAGAGAAGGCTTAGAAAGCTTCAGACTGCTGTGGAACATTTTCAGGGAAACAGATCATTTTTGGTGCAATCTAATGGATCTATCCATTTTATAAAAAATGTCTGGACTTTAATCTCTAGTGCTACGTTCACACAGGACGAACTCTGAGCAGGAAAGAAGTGATCAGCGGGTAAAAAGTAGTTACAATCTATGTTGAAGTGAGAAAGTCCTCCTGAAAACATGGTCTGTGCAGTCAGTTCATCCAGATTACTATCCTGCCTTCAAAGATTATTTCTCTGTGGGAGCCGCTCAGACCCCCACATACCGGCGTTGCGCTGTCACTGGGAATCCCCAGCAGCAGCTGCCTCAGGCCCACTCGCCTCTTGGGGGTTTTCCCCTACTGTTGGTGGCGGCTGGAAGTAGGTGTTAGCGTTTTTCAGGTCTGTGCTACAAACTGCTAGGATAATAAAAGCCAACATATTCTGCCGGCAGGTTTCTACATTTGAAGTTAATTTAGGCGTTAATAAACTGTCTCAGAGGAGTGATCATAGCGCTCTGCATCAGCAGTGATGTGTCTGACTCCCTGCCAGCTCCCAGATCAGCTTCTCTCATTGGTTGATGCGGCGCGTCCAGCAGCTAGAATACTATTTTTCCAGCTCCATAATCTGCTGCTCGCGGAGAGTGTCACACGCCTCAGAAGCTTCAATGTTCGCTGCTTCTGCTGCTCTAAAGCCTCTAAAGTGCGTCAACCTTTGCATTGAAACCATCTGCTTTTGCTGCTTCCATCGCTTGCAGTGTGAATGCAGCATAACTCTAATGAAATGACAGCATATAAAACCAGTGTCCTCTGGATTCTGCTCACCAGCTGCAGGTGTAGTGACCGACAGTTCTGCCATTAGCTTTTCAATGTCATTTAGAATTGCAGAGCTGCATCATATAGAAGTAGATAATTCCCCACGGAAATTTTGAAGGTGCCTGCAACATGGGGCGTATTAATGGTGCCAACTATAGAGATAGCTCAGGATAACCTGAGCCACTCTAACTAGAAGCTTTATCAAAAAGGAAAGTTTTAAGCCTAGCCTTAAAAGTAGACAGGGTGTCTGCCTCACTGACTAAAACTGGTAGTTGGTTCCACAGGAGAGGAGCCTGATAACTAAAAGATATGCCTCCCATTCTACTTTTAGAAATTCTAGGAACCACTAGTAAACCTGCAGGTTGAGAGCGAAGTGCTCTGTTACGAACATAAGGAACAATCAGATCTCTGATATCAGATGGAGCTTGACCATTTAAGGCTTTATATGTGAGAAGGAGGATTTTAAATTCTATTCTGGATTTAACAGGAAGCCAATGAAGAGAAGCCAGGATAGGAGATATGATCTCTCACACGGTCAGTTATTGACGCTGGTAAATCAGCTCCTGCCGTAACGTTTAGTGTGTTGGGACCGCAGGAACAGCAACCCCCCCTTCTTCTTCTGATTGGCTAATACTGTTAGTTTCAGAGCGCTCCATTAGTACTATTGGCTGAAAAACCTTTGAGATGGAGCAGATTGACGGATGAAAAACATTTTTTTAATATGAAATGCAACATATCTATATATTTTTTGGGTTTTCTTATAATTGCTGTTCTGTCAGCTAAAATCATGTTCTACAGTCTCTACACTCAAGTTAAAGATTAATCGAATACTGAATTAACTGACGATTATTTCAATTATTGATTAATCCGATTTTTTTCAGCCCTAAATAAAATAAACATTTTCAGGAGTTCAAATGTGTTTTAAGTATTTATTAAATTGAAGTGAAATACCTCATAATGTATCATTAATGATTCAAACACATATCAAAATTCATATGTTTTATTTTTTCTGTTCAATAAAGATTCCAGTTTTAAAAAATGTATATTAAATTTTCTTTCAACTATTTCATGGTTCAGACTTTGCAGATTTAATGACAAGTTGCTTGAAACAAGCAAAAGAAAACCTTTAAATAAACTATGAACTTAGTGATGGCTAAAATAAAAAGCCAAACTCCTTCCAGCAGCGTGGGTCCTACAGGAACGGCCGCACCCAGCAGATGCCTGTTAGCCACTGAGGGAAGGAAGCAGCTGGAGGAAGAGCTCAGCCATGTCCAGCTCCTCAAAGACGGCGCTCAGCTCTGATGAAGACGTGTAGCTCTTCACTGCAAAGCCCTGAAAACTGACAGACAGAAAGAGGCGCTGCATGAGAGCAGGGTTCCTACAGCATAAGGGAAGTTCAATTCAAGACTTTTTAATGCCACTTGAAATTAAAATTTAAGTCCAAATTCACAACAAACACAAGAAAACAGTGCAAAAACGATCTAGAAATAAGTCTTAAATAAAGTAAAATAAAGTAAAGTAAAGTAAAAATGTCTTAAATTAAGTGTATTCACCCTTAATTTGAGTAGGTAAATTAGATAATTTGCCAATGGAATGAATATTTTTACTCTTAAAATAAGATAATTAGATAATATGCACTTGAAATAAGACGAAGCAATTGTGTTTTCTTATGTTAAGTGTAAATTGTCTTGTTCCATTGGAAAAATGTCTTTTACATTTTCAATTCAAGAACATATGCACTTATTTTAAGAAAAAATGACTTACCTAGATTTAGATTTTTTTGCAGTGAAACCTGCTTGCGACAACTTAACCCAAAGGTTTATTTTAACATAAACCACTGCGCCAAAGTTTCACATTTTGAAAAGCTCCCCATACAGGAAGAAAGCTAAAAACACACAAATGACAGATATATTTGAACAATTATTTAACTGAATTCACAAACTTTGTTTTAGCAGGGAATAAAACAAATCAGTTTTAAAGCCACAACATAACGAGTGCTAAGTCTTTTTTGCAGCTATTTTTCTTTGTATGGTTTTCTTAGTATGTTTGATCTGGTGATAAGTGGAGGCGTTGCAGAGACAAGGGTGGAACTAAACTGAGAAAGACCCGTTTCTCGGTAACTCCATTTTGACGCTTTGTGTTTCGTGCTTCGCATGCGACTCCACTGCCTTAATTCCCATCGTTCCGAGCTTGAATGACTTCTTGAACAAAATCCACTGTGCCTCATGTATGTTCCCTGGTTTTAGCCATGGAGAAAACTCTTGGCTGGAGACAATTTTCGTTACATTTACACTTGCTCATATTTTCCAGACAAAAAGTTAATGGAGCGTCTCCCAAATGTTGCGGCCGCAACAACGCTTTTATTGGTTCTGCTATCGGGACGGAACCAATAATGGAGAGCCGATATATTTTTTTTTATAATAAAAAAAGTCAATTTTAACGTTTTATTTAGATTACAAAAATAAATCGTAATAAAAATAATCCTATTTATGATGTTTTAAAAATTAAGACCTACGAAAGACTGATTTATGACATTTTAATACCAATTAAGGCCTTAGTTTTATTTTGAAGAATTCAATGCCTTTTGAGACTTTTTAAGGACCCTGGGAACCCTGTGAGAGTCCAAAACAGGTCGAGACTCAGTCTCTCTGATGCAGACCTGTGCTGACCAGGAGGAGACGGCGTTTCAGCCAAGACCTTCATCATCCTCTCTTTGCATTTCTTGCCTGAAGAGTCTACGTCTACCTTAACAGTCTTCAACCGGCGGCAAAACTCCTGAAAAGAAAATGATATAAGAACAGGTCCAATTACTGATTTTAACAAAGAGGAACAGATTAAACATTTATTTTCCTGCAGCTAGTTCACCGCTCAGCAGTTCAGATGCAGTGTTTACATCCTGGACCGCATCATCAAGTAGGAGGAGCTCCAGCTGCTGTGAAAAACCTCTGCAGATGGTTAGAGCTTCTTTAGAGCAGGTCTGTGCTTTCAACGACTTGAAGGCACAAACTAAACTGTTCATCATTTATTCTTTATGGTACGCCAGCATTCAGAACATGGAGGCCAATCACTGTGGTCTGCGGTTATATTTTTATATTTATATCTGTTAAAACAAAGCAGCGTGTGTATGACATCATCCACGCGCTGGCTACCGTTCATTCATCCTGTCCGCTGAACTGCTGCTAGTTTTCCTCACATGCCTGGAAGATGTCTAGTGCTGCTACCACAGATGATCTCGCTCTCCAAATGGAATTGAACGATTCAGATTAGCTAGAATGAATAGAAGGGGTAGAGCGTGGCCGCCTGTGGCCCGGGCTGCCTGTCACTACTCCAGTCTGGATGACGTCATACAGGCGCCGCTTTGTTTTTAAAAGATATAAATATCAATAATCTAACGGTGGATGTCTGGGGGACAGTGATTGGCCTCCATGTTCTGAATGCCGGCGTACCATTAAGAATAAATGATGAACAGTTTAGTTTGTGCCTTCAAGTCGTTGCCCATAGGAAGACGTTACTTGGATATAACCTAACGGAATATCTTCAGAACGGCTCCAAATGACACAAAACTCATATGGGTGAGTAGAACATGATGGAATAACGGAAAATCAAGGAGCCAATGGAAAAAAAAAAGGTGTTCCCCTTTAAGTGCATTTTTGAGGCCAATTTTTTTTTTTTTTTTTTTTTTTTTTACTCTTTTTTCCCATGTGGTCCACTAAGGAGCCTAGAAATCCTTATCTTAGAGAGGAAAACACAATGGACAAGTTGATTGAGTGACTGTTGCTGTGTGAATCAAATGCTGTTATTTAAGATAAACATTTAAAATTTAGTTACACATCGTTGTAGGAAATCTTCAATTTCTTAGCCATTTCTCGCATGGAATAGCCTTCAATTCTAAGAACAAGAATAGACTGTGGAGTTTCAGATGAAAGTTCTCTTTTTTCTGGCCATTTTGAGCGTTTAATTGACCCCACAAATGTGATGCTCCAGAAACTCAATCTGCTCAAAGGAAGGTCAGTTTAGTAGCTTCTGTAACGAGCTAAACTGTTTTCAGATTTGTGAACATGATTGCACAAGGGTTTTCTAATCATCAATAAGCCTACTAAACCAATGAGCAAACACATTGTACCATTAGAACACTGGAGTGATAGTTGCTGGAAATGGGCCTCTATACACCTATGTAGATATTGCACCAAAAACCAGACATTTGCAGCTAGAATAGTCATTTACCACATTAGCAATGTATAGAGTGTATTTCTTTAAAGTTAAGACTAGTTTAAAGTTATCTTCATTGAAAAGTACAGTGCTATTCGTTCAAAAATAAGGACATTTCAATGTGACCCCAAACTTTTGAATGGTAGTACATCCATCCATCCATCCATCCATCCATCCATCCATCCATCCATCCATCCATCCATCCATCCATCCATCCATCCATCCATCCATCCATATTTCTCCCTTTCTCCATACAGGCTATCATTTGATCGTTCACGCTCTCCATAGTTCTCCTGTGGCGCGAGCACAGGGCGACTGTTGCGCGCCTTTAGCGAGCATGCGCGTTTCCTGTTGCTTGCGTGGTGAATCGTGCCGCATGCGCTGTGCGGAGATGCAGGGGAAACCGTATCTGATGGGGAAACGCAGCTCGACGTAACACCGGTATTTCCATGTGGAAAACGCTTTTCTGCTGCTGGAGTCCTCCTCACTCTCCATCTCTCTGTGTGTGCTGTACGTTAACACCCGCCAGCAGAAACACCCACCTACCCAACTGACAGACGGAATCTCACCATACATCAGCCATTCTCATCCTCCCCTCTCTAATGACAAGGCGCGCACGAGTCCTATCATGAAAAAAGGTTCATTGTGCGACCTGAGCAACGCGCAGTAATGTGGTGTCGGCAATGGTAACTGCGTTATAGTTACAGTCAAAGTAATTAGTTAGATTACTCGTTACTAAAACAAGGTAACGGCGTTAGTAACGCCGTTAGTCCCATCAATGACCATCAGATCTCTGATATCAGATGGAGCTTGGCCATTTAAGGCTTTATATGTGAGAAGGAGGATTTTAAATTCTATTCTGGATTTAACAGGAAGCCAATGAAGAGAAGCCAGGATAGGAGATATGATCTCTCTTTTTAAAACCCGTCTTTAAATTGTGTGATTTTGATAACAAAATTGAGTATAAAAAATAAACAGCAGAAAGCTCTTTTAAACTGATGACAATGATCAGTTAAGGAGCCATTAGTTTCCCCATGTTCATCTTTAGCTTGTTTCATAGCTGCCGATTAATCACCTTGATGTCCGATCGTCCTCCCAGTAGGACTATCAGGATACTGTGTCCCAGTAAAATCCTGCCAGCGACCTGCAGCTGCTGGCTCCAGTGCTCCAGCAGGCTGATGTAGTGGTTTCTGGATCTGATGTGATCCAGCAGTAGAACTGCTGTCCACCGCTGCTGTTCTCTCTCCTCTGCTGCCTCCTCCTCTCCTCCCATCTCAGCCGGGTCCAGACAGTCCTGCTGAGATCAGAACCGAGCCAGTCACTTCCAATAAAACCCTCTGATCCGTATCCAAAGCCTTTACCTGCAGGTACTGCAGCAGCTGGTGGAGCATCGGTTCCTGGGGGAGCTCTGCAGCGCGAGCCTTCAGCTTCTGCCTGATGTGGAAACACTGAGCCTTAGACAGGCTGGTGGAGGAGACGGAGATGTGAGGAGGACGGGACGGGTAGGCGGGGTCTAGATGGAAGACCACGCCCACATCCAGCTTCCCGTCTCTTCCAGAAGCACAATTCAGCTGGACCACCAGCCCATCCTCTGCTGCAAGGAACAAGACCACATCTGTAACGTCTGGCATTTTAGGACATAAGGATTCCTGCAGTGTCAGGTCATTGCATGATTAAAGGGATGAACCTCCTTCTACATCCAAGCTAATGCTAAAGGTTCTGCTGTCTGATCAGCTTCTCAATCGTTTGGGTCATATTTAATTAAAAAAAAAAAAAATTCAAAGACGAGAGAACCGCGACAACCAGTAGAGCTCTGGGGGTAACGGCAGCCAGGGCTAACGTTAGCCCGTCCGCAGTAAGCAGGGCTAACGTTAGCCCTGCTTACTGCGGACGGTTAGCGTAAACCCGTCTGCAGCGGCTCTCTCGGCACAGCCATGTGTGAAGGACCGCTGGCTCTGATGAAGGTTTGATGGTTTTATTTGGCAAAATGTTGATTTATCTGACTGTGTTCATCATTATTCTCCCATTAGATGTTCCAGGTGACCCAGATTTATGCCGCGTGCTTCTTTTCTCCCAGAGTCCAGACCTTCCTGGGTTTTTGTTAAGAAACAGACTTGGCGAGGACCAGTGATGGGACTAACAGCGTTGAAAGTAACTGCGTTACTAACGCTGTTACTTTTTTTAGTAACAAGTAATCTAACTAATTACTTTGACTGTAACTATAACGCAGTGACCATTGCCGACACCACATTACTGCGCGTTGCTCAGGTCGCACAATGAACCTTTTTTCATGATAGGACTCGTGCGTGCCTTGACATGAGAGGAGGGAGGATGAGAATGGCTGAAGAATAGTGAGATTCCGTCTGTCAGTTGGGTAGGTGGGTGTTTCTGCTGGCGGGTGTTAACGTACAGCACACACAGAGAGATGGAGAGTGAGGAGGACTCCAGCAGCAGAACAGCGTTTTTCACATGGAAATACCGGTGTTACGTAGAGCTGCGTTTCCCCATCAGATACGGTTTCCCCTGCATCTCCGCACAGCGCAGGCGGCATGATTCACCACGCAAGCGACAGGAAACGCGCATGCTCGCTAAAGGCGCGCAACAGCCACCCTGTGCTCGCGCCACAGGAGAACTATGGAGAGCGTGAACGATCAAATGATAGCCTGTATGGAGAAATCTGGATGGATGGATACTCTGCCTTTTCAACCTACTGTATTTTTTATTTTAAACATTATTTGATGGCCTTTGTGGCCGGGATGGAGATCCATATCTTATGTCATACACAGAGTATACATCTGGATGGATGGATGGATGGATGGATGGATGGATGGATGTTGCAGTATCTATAACAACCCAAACACACAGGATTTCAGAATTAGACATCCCCAGTTATTAATTTCACCAGATCTGAATGTCCTGTTAAAAAACTTCACATCACGTTCCCCTTGATGTAATTTACGTTGAGTTGCAATAAATGCAAAACTCTCTGCAGGTTCTTGTCTTTGTTGTCCGCTCTATTCAGCTGGCTTTGGAAACACACGGCGAGAAGGTGGGGGCTGGGTGGTGAGGGTTACGGGGGCGAGAAACGCAAAAGTAACGCAATAGTTACTTTTACTAGTAACTAGTTACTTTTATTGTGGAGTAACTCAGTTAGTAACTCAGTTACTTTTTGGGAAAAGTAACTAGTAAATATAACTAATTACTTTTTCAAAGTAACGTGCCCAACACTGGCGAGGACACAAGTCCGTACTCGTGTTCTAGTGAATTGAGAAACAGCCAGTGAAGTTGGCATAGATGACCAGTGGTTAAAGGAAGGCGGAACGGTCCGGTACTCTGTACCAGGTTTAAAGACGGTACAGCTGCTGAGCCAACAGGTGCACGGTTACAAACTTTATGAGAGGAATGTGCCATTGTTAAATCTGCACACCTTCAACTGAGCTCGTGCAGAAATCTGTCTTTCTCCGATCCTTGAACTCGTGTTCCACCCTGATCATCGTACGGCCGACTGCCCTCGATACTAAGAAACTATATGTGGCTGATAAACACCATCTAAACCTGCTTTAGCCTCGCTGTTATCACGTCCAAATCAGCAGAGGTCATTGAAAAACTTTTCTACTAAACTTTTTCTACTAAATTATGATCAGAATATTTTTCTGCTCACAGTTAATTTTTTGATAAAGCGACAGATAAAAAGGCTTATAGATCGTCTTTGACTACTTTTTCTCTCAAAATTAATAAATACTTAAAAGACATTTCAACTCTTGATAAGTTTTTTTAATTTTATTTAGGGCTAAAACAATCAGATTAATTCAGTAGTTGATTAATGGTAAACCAGAGAATAGAGCCTGTAAAACACGAATTAGGCTGACAGAGCAGGAAATATGAGAAAATTTAAAATATTGATCAGTATTTACATTTAATACAAAAAAATAAATTTCACCTGTCAATATGCTTTATTCCATGACAGAGTATTAGGACCAGGCTAGAGATTTTTTTTTTATATGATAATAAAGTTGCAACATTAGAAAAAAGTTATAACGTTATGAGAATAAAGTCGTAATATTACAAGAATAATGTTGTAATATTACAAGAATAAAGTCGTAAATTACGATAAAAATGTAATAATATGATGAGAATAAAGTTGCAATATTACGAGAATGAAGTGATATTAATTTCCACCAAATTATTTCCAGAATAAATTTCTGCTCAGTTTATTTGTTCATAAAGCTCCAGCTAGAAATGCTTATTGATCATCTCTGTTTATTTTTCTCTCACAGTTGCTGCTTCTTTCTATTCAAATAAGAATGAAATGTTTTCCTGTATTTTTACTAAAACATTTTCTCCGTTTCCTTTGAATATTTCAACATTTTAGTTTACATAGTTTTTAAAAATCAAGGTCTGGATTACTGGATCTGCAGAGTATTTTATATATCAGACCCCTATGAAGTCATTCATATATGTTTAGTATATTTATATAGATATATTGGTTTTATTGGTCTCGATCTGAAGAAAAGAAAACGTACACAGAGTGTTCTAATAAATGTATTATTGTTGAGATGACGTGTGGTGAATTGGTGCAATAGAAATAAACTGAATTAAATAAATAAATACATATTGGCCAATAAACATTTTTTTTTGTTTTATACTCTTGAAGAATTTAAAGCTACTTTCACTCCTGCAGATGATCACTACTTTTCACTCTCGTTGGTCACATGACCCTGCCTCCCCGCACGCTGCCTGCACCTTTAGTTCTTTCTCACCCTCAAAACAAATCCCATACCTTGAGAGGAGAGCTCTTGCAAAGCATTCTGGGATTTCTCTGCTCCTCTAGATGAATGACACATACTTTTTTTCCCCTCTTATTTCATATTTTAATTTAAGCTATTTACTCACTATAAAAGTTTTCACTCAGCCTGTTTCACCTGCAAGGCCACACCATTCCCCTATGTGAGGGTGTCTGTAGACAAACATAGCTTCTTCTTGTAACAAACCAGATTCCGCAAAAGTTTGAAAAAAACAATTCAATGGACTTGGTTTCCAAGATTTTAAGACGTTTCTCCTCCTCTCCAGGAAGCTTTCTCAGTTCAAATGTCTGGATCCGCAGTGAGTTTGAGTCTTATATAGACAAAGCCTGGTATCGCTTGGAAACATGCAAATGGGAACCGATGAATGGGTCGTTTGGTTCCATTGTTAGCCTGTAATATCTGAAACCTGTCTATAATTCTGAAGGTCGGCCGTTAAAGGAGGGATTGATCACTGGCTGAAGAGAGGAGGTATTTTGTTCCTCTGTGATCGGGGGGGGGGGGGAATACCTGAAACAATGTGACAATCTGGTCCTGGATGTCACGTTGTTGTTTTTTTATAATTTTGGTATAATTGCTGCTCTAAAAAGGTCACTCGGTCAGCTAAAGGCATGTTTTACTGTCTCTATACTCCAGTTAAGGATTAACTGCATTAGTTGACGATTATTTATAACCGATGAGTGATAATCATTTCCATGAAAATAATGTGACCGATCCAGGAGTGGTTCCTAACTGACTGACTCACTAAACTGGGTTTAAAAACGTATCTGTCAACATGATGCATCTGCTAAAAAAAAAGTCTTTTTGTTTTTTTTTTTTAAATGATCCAGAATGTTGGAGCCTATAAGGAATAGGAACGTTTTTATTTTTATTTTCTCCTTCTGTCATCCTTTTCCTCTCAGTTATCACTCAACTTATCTGAATTAAAGTTAATTTCTAATTGACTCTTAGTTTATTTACGGTTTTTACTGCACTTATTGTTTTAAAAAATGATTTTAAATCTTAGTCCACAAGCATCCCCATATTTTCCCCTAAATTTTAACGTTATGATAAATGTTTGCATTATTTATTGGCTGCATCTAAAACTATCAAAGATATTTTCAATTTAAACATAGATATGAAATAATAGAATATAACCTCCAATAACTTCAATGAGATCATTGTTCCAGGTCATCAGATCAAACAATTTAGTCTGTCCAATCAGCTGCCTGCAGTGTCTCTAAATGTCCAGCAGGTGTCAGTATTCTGAGACAGGATCAACGCAGCATTAGTAGTTTGGCTTCTAGATGCCTCATTAACCATCACTACATGTCAGACTAGATGAAGGGGTTAAACATAAATAAAAACACATATAGCTAAGCACAGTTAGCCACAGTACCAGACTGCTGAACCACCTGCAGCTCTCCATCCCTGCAGTAAATGGATGATAAAACTGAAACTTCCTCCATCGCCGCGTCCGCCATGATGAACAGAAACCCTCTCACGCTCCGCCTCCTCCTTTAAATGCATCTAATTTCATATACTCCTATTTGATGGTGGATACTCTTCGTTCCAGTAAACATTCTGCAGCTGCTTTAGCTTCGCAACCAACTTCCTGTTTAGGAGCTCAAAAGGACCCCACTTAGCTGCCCCTGATGATGCCGGTTTTCTGTTCAAAATGTTTCCAGGATTCATTCAGTCCTGTTTTTTTTCCAGCTGCAGCAGAAAGAGAAATGAGTTAGAAACAGCAAATATCTGCGGATCAAAATTCACAACCACTCACCCTGAGACCGTGATGATATTTCGACGCCCCAACTGGCTAAAACTGGACGCTCTTCTTCTTCTTCTCTTAGTGTTTTATGGAGGTTGGCAAACTAGTTGGAGAGCATTACCGCCACCAACCGATAAGAAGTTAAACGAGGAAACAAGACTCTACCCTCAGAAAAAAATAAAATAAAACACATTTTTTCAAACTGTTTAATTTAACCCAACATAATCAATGCTTAATCAAATTCGTCCTCATCATTTCATCATTTTGTTTTTCTCGGTTTTCCTTCAACCATGAGTCTTCTGCAGTGTTGGGATGCTGCTCCGCAGATTTTAAACTTGTCATGTGCTGAACTGTTGGTTTGGGTTTTTCTGACAGGGATTAGATCCTTTTTGCAGCTTCAGCAGAAGTTAGTCTGAGCTCTAATTTCAGTTTTCTAATTTCTTCAGATCTTTTACTCACTTCACACCCTAAATATGCAGCAGAATGTTCTCCACCACAGTTACGGCATTGAATCTTTACTTTTTCCCCCACATTTTCCATATTCCTGCTCTCCAGCAGACCTTCCACCCGCCGTTTTCCTTTACATTCACCTGTATATATGTCTAGATTTTTGGCATTTGAAGCATCTAATATAACCTATGAAAACATTTTACATCCTAGCTCATATAACCTATGGGAACTTTGCTGGGTAATTGTTCTTCCTCAAATTTGATCAACACAGATAAGTTGTCACACTTTTCCCCGTTTCTTGTTGTTTTGAACCGTTTCACTTCTTTTACTTTTGCACCACTTATATTTTCTAGAATCTCTTTTTCAAATACTTTTAGAGGAATTCCTCCAATCACTCCCCTGCTCATCCTTTCGTTCTCCACCAAGCTGCACGGAAGTCTTTTCCCTCCATCTTGTTGATCCTGTCTGGCTTTGCCTTGCTGAGGCTCTCTGCAGTTTATTAACAGGTAACTATAGAGGATTCTGCCACTGAGGACTTCTCCTTAAAGTTTATTTATGGATTATGTAAACTGAACCGGATTCGATTCTGTAAAAGAGTCTGCCTGATTAACTAGTTTGAATATAACTTTATAATCATTTTTGTTTTTCTGTGGAAAGTATAGATGGTTCATCACTTAACTGTTCTGAACTGAACTCCCCTTCAATTGATCTCTGCTTTTATGATTTTTTCTCATTTGACTCTCTTCCAACTTTCTTCTTTTTCACTATTTCCTTCTTTCATCCCACAAGAATCGCTTACTATTTCCTCGCTGCTCCTGATCCAGGACATGTGCTCCTGATCCAGGACATCTATTCCTCATCCAGGAAATCTGCTCCTGATCCAGGACATGTGTTCCTGATCCAGGGCATCTGATCCTGATCCAGGACATCTGCTCCTGATCCAGGACATCTGATCCTGATCCAGGACATCTGATCCTTATCCAGGACATGTGCTTTCTGATCCAGGACATCTGCTCCTGATCTAGGACATTTGCTCCTGATCCAGGACATGTGTTCCTGATCCAGGACATCTGATCCTGATCCAGGACATCTGCTCCTGATCCAGGACATCTGATCCTGATCCAGGACATCTGCTCCTGATCCAGGACATGTGTTCCTGATCCAGGACATCTGATCCTGATCCAGGACATCTGCTCCTGATCCAGGACATCTGATCCTGATCCAGGACATCTGATCCTTATCCAGGACATGTGCTTTCTGATCCAGGACATCTGCTCCTGATCTAGGACATTTGCTCCTGATCTGGGATATGTGCTCCTGATCCAGGACATCTGATCCTGATCCTCCTGATTTTTAGGGATCTGACCCACATGCAGGAAACCACTCAGAGAAACCAGAGTAATGTTAACAGCTTTATTAGAAGTCCAAAAATGGGTTGGATTCAGGTGAACTCAGAGAGCTGGTGAACCGGAACTGGAAGTAAGAAGGGAAGTTCACACAGGTTAGTTCAGGGTCCGTGGGAACTTTGAACAACGTCTTGCAAAACAGAGATAAACGAGACTCACTTTATGCGGAGAAAGAAAGCTCAAACAAATCCCTCCAAAAAATCCAGTATGCTGGAGGACTTCCTGCCGAAAGGCAAAAGACAAAAACAAGGTTAGAACTCAGAGAAACAAAGACTCAGTTAGACTCAGCTAAACTCAGCTTGGCTAGAGTACCCCAAACTGGAAAACACTCTGGCGTCGAGGTAGTGACAGTCCGCCGCTCAAATACTCCTCAGTGATGAGCCAACCAGCCGCAGGTGTGCAGGAGGACCAACGAGGACAGGGTACCACCTGGTGGTGGAGGGAGAGAAAAACACCAAAAACACAACCCACACAAACTGGATTCCTAACAGTCTTTATTGATGGATACTCTGGAAGTACTTTTGAACAGGAGGTGCTGTGAAATTGTTTTGTTTTTTTGGACAAAAGACCTAAAAACAACCTATAGGCCTTTTTAAAATAAAATAAAATACAATACATAGAGATTTACTGCTTTATTGTCACATACACTTCAGTGCACAAACTGGAGTCTGTAACACACAGATATCATCAGTTCTCAGGTGAATATCTGCACTATTAAGTAAACAATAACACATAGATTTGGTCAGCTGACAGGAACCTGAGTCACTGACTTTATGTCTATTAGCTCCAAAATCCTTTTACTCAAACCACAAGGACATAGTTATATTATTACACTATTTAAACATTATTGAACAGTTCTTCATTAGACAAAGAACACATGATCAAAATATCGCTCTAAAATACTATGCTTACCTTAAACTGCACAAATGGCTCTGAATGTGCGCGGCAGCACCATGCTGTAACTCTGAGCTACAAGCAGGGGGCGCTGCCTGGTCCCAGGTGTCCAAATGTTCAGGTGCGCTCTGAGGTCATGGAGATTAACATGCTTTGATTAGGGCCTCAAAGTAATTAAATTAAAATCTTAATACATGAAATAGTAAAACGAAAAAAAAAAATCTAAATCATTTCCCAAAATATTCATAAGAAATGTATTTTATCTTTTTTAGTGGAGAGGGTGTTGCGGTCCCCCCAGCACCCCCACTTCACACGGCCACGTCTACATCTACGTTTAATGTATTTTATTTGAAAGCATGTAAACAATCCATGATTTAGGGCTATTCATAATCTGGGAAAGGAGTTGAGTTTTAGTATTAAAGAAAAATTAATTTCCTTGATTTCCAAACCTGGAAATAAATAATCTGAAACGTTTTACTTGGTTAAACAGAGGTTACATAATTCTCCCCGAGGATGTTGCTGCCAGATTAGGGATTATGGATTTCATCAATAATTAGGGAAATACTGCATATGTGCTGCAGTGCGGCTCTGCTGGACGGGTGCAGCTGATCACTGCAGCTATGGTCAACCAGCTGCGTCTGCCCTTATCTGAAATATATGGTGTTCTGTTTGATGCCTGGCTCACCGGCTCCTGGTCAGTCTGGAGAAGAATGGATCGTTCATGCATGAGGTCAAAGGTTAAAGTGGAGTTTACAAGTAAAATACTCCAAGGCTTTAAACCTGGGTTTGAATGGAGACTAAGCCATTCTCAAGCACATATCAAGGTGCTCATTTTGAGCCTGGATCCAGATTTATAAGGTCAGTTCAGTAGCTTTTATTTGTCTCAGTATGGGCAATTTTTGTGCAGTAGTAGTACACCTTTCACACACATGTTCACATTTCACAAATCACAGATAAAAAATAAAAGAAGCACAAGAGACACATAAATATTTAAAAAGATAAAAGTAAGGTGGATAAAAGAGACAGAAATGTAAAAAATAATAAAAAGTAAATAAATATGTGCAAATGAGAGCATATACATGAATGCATGCAACATATGGCTATCTGCTTTTCCTAGTAGAGTTTAGCAGCTGAAGAGCAGAGGGGATAAAGGAGTGTTTATCTGTTGGTCCGAACTGGTGGGTATTTAAAACGGGAACCAGAGGGTAGAAACTGAAATTTGTTATGTAGGGGATGAGTATAATTATCCAAAATGGACTCAGCCTTCCTGATTACCTGATCTTCATATATTTCAGTCATGTTTTTCTGTTGAACACCTGTGATCTTACTGCACACCTTAATAATCTTAGATATGGCATTTTTGTTCTTTACATTAAGAAGAGCGTACCAGCAGATGGCAGAGAAGGTAAGTATGGATAAAAGATCTGTAGAACATGGTCATTAGAGTTTTGTCAACCTGAAACCTGGCTAACTTTCTCAGGCAGTATAAGCTCTGCTGCCCTTTCTTACATAGCATGTCTGTGTTGCTGTTAAAAGTTAATTTGTCATCTATGATAGACCCAAGATATTTATACTGATGAACAATTTCAATGTCTTGCCCGTTTATAATGGTTGTAGAGGGGTTGCAGGTCTTGTGCCTAAAATCGATACACATGTCCTTTGTTTTACTGACATTCAGTTCCAGCATTGCTTCCTGACACCAGTTTGTGAAATAGTCCATGATGGGGCCATGTGCTGTTTCACTGTCCTCCAGCAAGCTCACAATGACAGTATCATCCGCAAACTTGACAATGTGGGGATTGTCAATTTTAGAACGACAGTCATCAGTGTAGAGGATGTAAAGAAGTGGAGATAAAACGCAACCTTGAGGAGAGCCTGTAGATGTAAAAGACAGATATTTTTTATTCTGTTCATGGTGGAGAATCCTCCTTCATAGCAGCAGGTTGAGTGAAACATCCTCTAAATGTTCAGGCTCCGCTCCGTCAGGTCAAGATCAGCTTTTGCAATCGCACCAAAAAGGGTTATTTTTTATTTAAAGCTTAGAAGTACTCTACTCTAGCGCTCTGATGCAATCCTGATGCCATCTAAGTCTGA